TCCTGAAATCTCATGGTTTCAGGAGCTCAATTTTGGCTATAGTAATACTACATGTCAGATCGCCCGTGAACCAGCATCGGGAATCGAGCCAAACACCGGCCAAGTGAAACGGATGTCGATCGCTGCATTGAGACAGCTACGGCTTCTACACTGAACCGGTTGTTGAGCCAAGAAGCTTAATTAAAAAGCAAGTACCTTCAGGTGAACTGCTAAGAATCTCCTTGGTTTATCAGAAGCTCTCATCTTGCCATTCACGTGCCACTTTCGGAGAATGTCCAGAGTCTGCCTCAGAAGGGTCGACCTGACACATAGGGGACTGGGACAATCAAGTAGAGGAGGTTTTCTTGCCAAGGCCTACTTTCACCCAAGGGCGCCTAAGGGTCCTGATAATTCATTCAGGCAAACCACCAAATGTATAAGACTCATGACCAAATCTGAGGCTCCACGCCGTCACATGGGGCCGGAAGACTAAGCACACTCGCAGGATGCTCCACTAAGTGGGAGTAGTTGCAGCAGGTGTTCTGCAAGTTTGGGGATGCTCCAGGTGTTGGTTGGGCACATTGGACCCCAATGGACCCCATCACCCCAGAATGTTAACAATGAGCTCCTTTGCTCATCATGAAACCAGAAATCATGCTTGCACCATGTCTAGTACTGAAAGAAAACCAAGGTTTGAGGCATGCTCATTTTGCTCAATGCTTGGCCTGCTGAGTCCCTAACACAGAGGCTATGGAGCTATGACCACTTCGAATCGACTGTTGGGTGGTCTAGGAATGTATGGGACCCTGAGAAAGATTACAGCATCGTCATCTCACCATGTTTTTGATGCCTTTGTTGAAGAACTTCAGAAAGGTCTTCAAAGCACTGAGAGGGAACCATTGCAGCTAAAGCACAGGAGGGCCTACAAATGTTCACAATTTGTCCGTTGATCAGAGTTTCGGGCTATAGCCACCATAGCTAGGTTTCGTTTGATCATGCATGTCAAAACCTCCCATGCACTGTGAACGATTTCTGGAAAAGCAGAGCGCAGCGAGGTGCATGGTGCAGGCAGGAGTTGCTCTTGCACATCCACGGAGTGTTCAATTCCCAGGACCACTGCATTGGCGCATCAGTGACCCTACGTTCTTGCAATGCCAAGGGCTGTCAACCCTACGACCAGAACCAAACCCCTGAATGGATCTGCGTTCTGCACCCAACCCTGCATCACCTTTTGCAGAAAGAAGGGGGTCTTGAACTGCGTATGTCAAACAAATCTGTCTTGCTGCTGGATGCTGATCCCTGAACTCATGGAGAAATGAGCCCAGGTACTTCGTTTGCAACAGCGTAGGGTGGCTCGAGTTTACCAAAACTCTCTCGCAGAGCGACCGAAACGAAGCACTCCAGAAAATTGGACCGAAACGAAACACTTTCTCCCTGTGCCTATCCAACACCAAGCCGCCTCTTCCACCTCTACTCGAAGACCCCATCTTTCACCAGCCCACCAGGCCTACTGCGAACCGAGCCTACCAGAGTTGCCCTTCATGTAGACTCCCGATGATGTTTCAACCTCCCTTATAAAAAGAATGTTCCAAATTGGGATGCTTTTATTCATGAAGAGTCCATCAAAAAAAAATACCTATCATTTGTTTGGTCTTCTTCCTCTTTGTCCCTCCGGTGCTTCTCGTCTGGAGTCGCAGTCACCGCCGCACCTCCTCCGTCCCCTCCGTCCCCTCCAGCGCCTCCTCGGCCGCGAAGCGCAGCGCGCGCCCCGCCGAGGTCACCGCGGCCCAGACCACGCCGCGGTCCGCCTCGGTGGATGCAGAGTCTGACGGTGAAAGAGCCTTGGAAGTTGCGTTGATCCCCCAAACCAGGCAGTTGGACCAGCAGTTGGACCAGCTGTTGAAATAGGGCAAGTCGGGCAAGCATCCTGTGGAGCGGAGACTCTCTGAGAGAGATCTACCCGCAGGATTTGGGGATAAAACTAAAGGATCAACATGGAAAACTAACATCTGTTCTTTGCGAGCAAGAAATAGACAGGTTGCTTGTGTTTGGTCAGCATCTTGTTTCGCTAGTCTCGTGTTCGTGTTTGTCTCAATGTGAGAACTCGATGTGTGTATATGTATAGAGAGAGAGAGAGAGCAAAAAACAAAAACAAAGAGAGAGGTCGAAACCTACACAAGTTGGGCCCATGGCCCGTGGTCAGACTGAGGTTCAGGGGCAGCGTGGGCAGCGCAGGTCACAATAGGTCCAAGATTCTGGCACCCAACATTTGCAACCAGCATGTGGCTGGCAACTGAAAACATCGGCTTCTTCCAACATCTTCAGGATCTTCAACACAAGGACATACACTATGAACAAATGTTACGCTCTGACCCACCGTGGAAGATTTCGGGAAGACCCCTTTTCTTTAGAAATAGAGGGTGAACTCCAGGCCCCATGCAACCGGACTGGGAAGTGTTTTCTTTCTTTCCCATGGCCAGTTTGCTGTAGGATGGAAAGGGTTGTCTAGGATCCAACCATCCAAGCCACTGAGTCACCACCCCCCCACCCAAATGCCCAGCTCACCCCACCCAGCCGCGCTTCAGAGAAAAGTGACACGCAGGGCCTCGGAGGCAAAGTCCAAAGCCTGAGAGTGGCCAAGGCGGAGGTTCGCTGGTGCAAAGCCCCAAACAAACACATGATGTAAAGATTGATCAGTCGAAGTGTATTAGCATGTAGAATTTCAATGAATATGGATTGTCAATGATTGCATCGAAAACATGTTTGAAGCAGTTTTGGGTGGTTGCTCGGGAACTTACTGGCTGCTTTGTTTATTTGTGTTTTTTCTTGAGTAGCCTAAAACCCTGGGGATAGGCCATAGTCATACCCGCTGCTGAAACCCAGGGCAAAATAAACCACCCTCTCACCCGAATCCCGGGGGTGCCAGCTCGGGATTCGCCCGCCCCTCTGCCCACGGGCCTCGCCATCTTGCTTCACGGCCAGAAGCACACTGCGACGGTCCCCTGGCGCCGGTCGTCCCGGACCGCGGCAGCCTTCGCGTCCAGGAAACGTCTTGGACGCCTTGAAGATGTCCCTTTGATTCTTTGGATGTTTCGGAATTTATCATAATCCCTTGGAGGATGGACCTCAAAATGTCGCACTAAATGCAGGAAACTCTAACAAAAATCAACCAGAAAGATGCCTAATCCAGTTGAATGCTGTATACCACTGTCACCACCTTTATATTCATGGTGTACACCCTCGTAGACTGACATAGAATGTGAAAATGGATCATGAGAAAATGCACCGTAGAAAAGTAGGTTTTTTCCTCTACAAAACCCGTGTTTGTTTCTACCTTCGTCTGCTTTTCGGGGTGCGCTTTTCGTCCTCCCAACATCCCTCCGTCGTCCGTCACCGGGCGTTGCGGCGCCTCGCACGTGCTCCGGGGCGAACTGGAGACGGCGGCCGTCCTCCGCGACCGAGGCACGCCTCGGATGGGGCGGCTTGGTCGGGGGCGGAGCGTGGGTCCTAGGAGTTTTGGTGGTCGTGGGTCCTAGGAGTTTAAGTGAGCAATTGGAAAGACACCCGAAGAGTTTGGCGTGCAAAATGAGGAACAAAAACACCATCTACAGTGTAATTGGCCAGAACCTGCCAGCAACATGACTGCTTGAGGTGCCCGTTTGCTGAGCCCTGGCGGAATTGTGCCAACCCGCGGGCTGTGGCTGAAGAGCCGTAAGTCTCACACCAGCCGGGGAGGCTGCTTAAACCGCGCCCCATCAGCAACCGCGCCCCATCAGCGACAGAAGGGGTTTAGTTAGTTCTGCTCGATCTGGAGACTATTTGTCCTTGTCTAAAGTTTCGCTCTTGATTGCAATGAAAGTCAAAAAGGATGTTGTTGTAGAATGTCCTCCACTTCATGGGAGGCAATCTTTGACCTCATTGACAACTTCCGTCATATATAAAAATGGTGTTGCTTGCTGTGCCATTGAGTCGCACATGGCCATGCAGTACGTGCCTAGAAGTCTTTCTGATAAAGCCAAAAGAATCCACTCACCGTTTACACCAAACAACTATTTACACCCACCATCGTTTGCACCAAACCAGGGTTTACCTAGACTCCTAGATATTCATTCTATTCTAAATGGTGAATATTTATTCTACATGGCGAACGCCGATTACGTGGCTAGAAGAAGTTGCTAATTTCAGGAACAACCTCTACATAACTACCAGTTCCGGGCCAAATGTTCAAGGTCATCTACAGCCGAAGCTATCTCTGAGGCCATGTTTCTGGTGCTTGAGACCACCTGAGAATCCAATGGACGGAGCCGAAACTCAAAAATTGACTTCAAAAGGTCGCTGATGATCATGCTGGATATAATGTATACATATATATATATACATGTATTTTGCTATATACTTGGAGACAACGTATGACCATCTCTTTGTGTGTGCGACTCACGAACATACAGGGTGCAACTGCAAAATAGATTTTTGCCAGAAAGCCTGGATGGTGTCTCATGCTTGAACCATTGCCAATGTTCAATCACGTAGCATTAAAATCTCGCAGAACTGATCTACAGCACTCCAGGATTACTCTAAAAATTGTTCTTTTGCACTTCCACTCTCGGGCTGCAGGGCCACCCAGTACGGCTGATCTCTCGAAGGGCCCCCCCTCCTGCCAGTGAAAATGAACATCCCTTTCCCTTTGGAAGAATCTCAATGTCCTGACATGTCCAGCAAATGCCTGTGTTTGTTTGTTCGCTGAACCGCCCGCGAGTTGGACCCCAACACCGACCCATGTCCCTCCTTTTTCTCCCCACGCAGGTCGCTGCTGCAGTTTGCGAGGGGCACGGAGATGCTGCGATTCAACTAAGGCTTAAGTGTATAATAGAAGGGTTTCCAATCCATCTCGGGTTCACATCTTCCGAATATCTCACGAGAGAAAGAGAGAGAAGGTCAGTAGCCCAGGGACCGGTCGGCCTAAGCCAAAAAAGTGTCACAAATCTGATTTTTCAGGGTGATCTGAAGAGTCCTAAGGGTCTTGCTTGCATTGTCTGCTCATGTTGGATGTCCACCCCACCCACAAAGACTTCCCCTCGCAAATCTCGCCCAACACCTGGCACCATCGACGAAGACACCGGTCCCGCCCCGGTGCCGGGTCTCAACACTCAGGAGACGGGGCAATTCACGAGGTCTTTGGTCTCATCATCCAAAAATCCTCATCAAAGCTGCAAAGCGGGACCAACATCCGGGATGATTCCCAACACTTGTGCGGGACCCTTCCGTCAAGAATCACAAAGCACCTCTAAGGTCCTAGACTCTGCGCCATGTCGACAAGAGGAAATACACCAAAAAAAATCCAGCGACTATATAAGCATCTTTCAGGATCAACTACACTGCACATCAACCCCGGAATGAGCCAGTAACAATCAACCCAAAGTACCTTCTTGCGGTGGGAAGATATCCAGGTCAATGGCAGACCAAGGTGTCACCCTTGTTGAAAACCCTCAAGTCTCCTTCCTCCTTTGAAGGAACTTGGGCAAAGGATGCCAACCATTGCACTGACGTCACTCCGTCGGTCCCGATGCTTCAAGTCGTGCACGGAGAGACAAGGAATTCGTATTCGCTGCAACTGGTGGGTGGACTGCTCGACTTCCGACCCACTAGTGCGTGCCACTCAACTCCGAACTCCAACTCCACTTGCTGGGAGATTCTGCTGGAAGAAATCTCTACAACCTGGAATTCTGTAAGGTGAGGACAGTAAGGATGTCGTTGACAGTGGTCAGCATCGCGCCACATGCCAAAGGCTCTTTTTCACTACCTAAACCCCTGTGTTAACGCATCAGAGTCACGGCCATCATCGTGAGCTTGCAAGCGAATGTCAGGGTCATAGGTCCAAGTCATTGACAAGCAGGATGCCTGGGTGAGTTCTGCGCATCGATACTTTGTCAGGCGGGGCGTGAGGAATCAATGACCTCTTAGAGAGGACAAAAAAATCACCTCCGGAGTGTTTCCCTTTGTGAGGGTATTTGATTGACAACTAGGTCACCAAATATATGATGTTCAAAACAGCTCAAGGCAGCTTCCCAGCTCTGAAAAAGTCCCGTCTGCTGCGATTTTTTGGGTGATTCCCCCATTTGGAGACCAGAACTCTCAGTCCAGCTCCCTCCGATCTCACTGCCAACAAATTGGGTCACCAGCGTTTTGGAAAGGACCGCTATGAAACTAGAAACACTCATAGCCGGTGAGTCAAAGTCCCAGCATCCGATCAATCCAACAGCCCACCCATCAGCTTCACTAGGTACATCTTTTGTCCCATCCTTTGTCCCTCTGTTTTGTCCCGGTGTATCTCAAAAGGTCTCCCCAGGCGGACTTTGCCCAGAAGAGTTCTCTCATGTGAGGTAAACACTAGCAGCCCCAGTAGAATCTTAAAGGAAACAGTACTGAGCACTTATGGTGTTTTGTTGTTGCGTCAAATGATGCAGGAGGTCGTCATCAACAGAAGTTGCGGGGGTTGTGTGCATGATCCGAGTCAAGTTGCAGTGGTTGCCAAGGGGTTGTAGGTCTGCATGGAAGCCACCCCAACCTGCACGTCGCCCGCAATCTCTTCCGAAAAGAAGTATTGCGTCCACTTCTTGTGCAGCCCAATAGCCAGCGTGTACCCGGTAATGTTCATGGGACTGTCATGGGGTGGCAATAACAAGAGCTTGCCGGCTGGAGCCATTTTGCCCGTCATCTCACACATTTGATGCGACTGTTTGATAATCTCAGACTGCACCTGCGGCTGTTTGTCATAGTCCATGATGCAAGAGCCATAGACCTCACAAATCCAGTTCATGGAGTAGCCATAATGGATGGTGTCACCTTGCAAGGAGCACATCCGCGCAAGCTGGTGGAACTTCTGTGGCGGCATGTAGTCCAAAACCTAGAAATCTCAGGGTCTTGACAACATCTGTGCAAAGCCATGCTGAGGACATCCTTCATGAGTAGGGGATCAATATTGAAGAACCGCATAACCCCACATGTGAAGCTTTCGTGTTCATAACAAGTGAAGGAGAAGCGGAAGGGAGCACGAATGATAGTGGATGAGTCTGAGTGTATGCGGTCGTGGCCTGCATGATAGCAGCCAAAAATTGGCGGTGAGGAAATTAAATCGGATCCTGGCACCGTGCAGAGCGAACTGCGACATCTTTCTCTTTAATGTGTTTTTTTCTGTCTTTCTCTCTTCTTGATCCCTAAATGCTTTGCTTTTGATGTTCTTGATCCCTGATTGTTGTTCTTTGATCCCTTTCTGTTTTCTTTGATGCCTCTGCCATCCTTCATGCAGTTGCACTGCAGCATGAAAACAAACGTATATAGTAGGCTCTGCGTGTCCTTTGATCAAATCTAAACTACGGGGTGATCTGTCTTGACATCCTGCCACTGCTTCTATGGTTCTATCATTGACTTACGAATATGGAAGTGCACAAATATAGTTGGAAAAAGGGAAAGCAATTTTCCTCTAGTTTCCAGAGGTCTTCAACTTTCCATTTTGCCCTGGAGCGAATCCCCCTTTTGCAGGCCAGTCACGTTGGACCATGACATGGTCCAAGGATGCTGCCTGTCAACAAAGAAAGGCACACTCCGACAAAAGATGCAGTTGACCACCATGCTGGTGGAGGGTTACAATCATTTGTCTCCTCGGTGTGACCCTGAGCCCATGTCAATGGCCGCACTGAAAACACACATGTTCGACCACCATCATGCAGATTCTTGAAGTCCCTCTGTTCCGTGCATCTCTGTCCCCTCCATGGTTCCAAGTCAGGTTCTTTGATCCCAGATGCTGCTCCTGTGGCGTTCCATGTTGATCCAAATCTTTTGAAAGCAAAAGATTACTTGCATGCTTGATCTGATAGAGTGCCCTTGTCGCCTCAAGGTATGGAGGAACCCACTAAACATTTGATGCGAGAAGACCAAAACCACTGAATGAACTCAGAAATCATCCAAGAATCCTGCGTGCCATTTGAGTGTCCCTTGATTCGGAAGTCAAGGAAAGAGCTTCGGTTCTCACAAATCCAAAGCAAACTTGAACCCACCTTCTCTCCAGCGGCCTGGCAATCCAAGGTACGATCTCTGCCTCCGCCCGAGGCCGTGATTTTGGTAACGGGAGGGCGGACCTTCCTGTCTGGACTGGCCACCGGTTTTTCCATGGTTTAAAAGTTTGTGGCCTAAATGGAAGACGTATGGTAGACGTGTGACGCGCTTTTTTGCATACACGCAATGGAAGGTACAAGGGTATCTCAGAGGAAGAGAATGTACAAAGTATAGCCCCGAAGCCTTGAAAAAATGGACATCTAAGTGTTCCAAAATAGATGCAGAAATAACGTCCAACTCAAAATGGGATTCACGTTCCCATCAAATGGCTGGAATCACAATCATTACTGACCGTCCATTCAATTGTCAATTGTTTTATAGTTAGAATCAGAATGAACACTGATCCAGCTGAATGCGTTCAATGTCTGATTGATTGATTTCGAAAGTCGCCTTGCACTCTAAGCGCTATGATTTTGACAAAGAGTGAATGGAAAGGGTATCCGTGGCAGGCCAGCCCAGGGGATTCAAAAAATGGTTTTGTACCTTGCGATGGCTTTGAATGTTGCAGTTCTGCGTCGGCATTTTGTTAGCCGCAAGCAACTTCGTTGGATAATCGGCTAGCAACTTCAGGATGGCCAAGTTCATCTCAATCCTACAACGGTTTGTATGGAAATAATCCAATACGATATCTGGATATCTGGCTCTTTACCTAGTGCTTCACAACTCCAAAGCGTCGATCAGTTGCAAATAATCCCTTCTCCACCAGAAACTCAACAGCCATTTGCAGGAACTAATCTCAGCCGCCAGGGTGCCAACAGCCAACAAAAACAATAGTCCAAGGCTATTTTTTCTTTAGGTGACTTAAAAAGAAACGTGTTTTACTTTAGTGGTCAAAAAGTAGTCGTTTGACTTCTAAGGAAAAAGGTGTTTCTCAAAATGAAGACAACACCCTGACCCAAATAGGTGAAATGTCTGTTGAATTTTCTTCTGCTGTCAGGTGCCCGTATTTTGACACATGCACGTGCCCCTACAGCCTCTTGTGGTTGGCAACACCTACATCACAAGTTTCTAGCTCAACCTCACAGCACAGGGCTGGCCTCGGAATCCACCAAATCACAGCGAAGATCGATAATAACTTGGCCTCATCGCAGTGGGTGGAACCCATTCCGGATCATGTGAGTCATCTGCCTCTTTTCTCGTCCATTTTAGGGCAGATGAAAATGGTTACAGGACCTGTGGCTACGGGCTGACTTGACTGCACCCCGTCCCATGACCTTGTCAATTCACACTGTCAAGTTACTACTGCGGAGTGAGTATGGGCTCAAAACGAAAGGCGCTGCCGAAGTGCTCTGCCTTTTTCGTAGACCGCTTGTACAAGCTGCGGTATGCACATGCATGCGACACAACACACCACCGCTATCCACCACTGGTCAATTTCCACATTGGGAAAGAAGGGTGTTGGTGTGTTGGCCTTTGAATTAGAAGCTGGCGCCGCCATGCTTCGTGGTGGCGCGGCCACATTCTTTTGGCGCTGCCACAGCCGATGGTGCCACCATCTGCTTTGAGCGTTCCTTCCTCCGCTCACGTTGTCCCTTCCGAAGCTGACGTCGGTGATCTTCTGTCGCTTTCTCTTCCGCGGTTTCTTTCAGGCTGATGGTCTTCTTCGTCAAGTATGGCCTTTGTAAGGCCATCTGCGTGCTGTCGATGTGTGGGGACCCAATACAGCCTGAACACCTCTTGCTCGAGCAAATCCTTTGCCACCAAAAGATCCAGCATCGTTTGGCGTTCTGTTGGAATTTGCCCGGTTGTACAAAGATGATCGAACAACGATTTCGCATCTGTTACGACGCCACCGCCAACTCGCAGGCGTGCACGCCAGTCTTGCGTGACTTCGAAGACGCCATGGATCATCATATCCGCAATGAGGCGGATGTAGAGGTGTCTGTCCACCGCGAGGCTGAGGGAACAAGATTCCGCGGCCATAGAACTCCTGACGACTCTGCTGCTTTTATTAGTCGTGTAGTCGATTGCTGCAGCAGGTTGGGGCCTTTTTGCCACCTCTTCATTTGTCAGGAAGTGCACTGCTCCGAGTTGCGATTTTCCGTCCTTCTCTTTGCCCAAGCTGGCATCAAAGTATGTCACTACAAAGAGACGGCCAGGTATCTTTGGATACGGAAGCACTGCACGGCCTTGCTTTGCCTCTTCACGACATTCTTCATACAACTGCAAAGCCATCTTGTAATCCCCCATAGTAGCTTTAGTGGCGTGTTGAGCAAGCTTGCTGACCTTATACAAAAGCTGGGGCATGGACTGTTGCCCGGGCCATCGCAAACTCATCACCAGTTGCCTGTAGGAGGTCAGCTGTTGTGGATTCAAGGGAGTGTCATTCTTGGCACTGGGCTTCAAGTCCGGCAGGGAGATCTTGTTGAAGTAGTTGGACATGTCGTCATAGAGTTCTCCCTGCTGTTCTTTCAAATCCACACCCAAAAAGGTCAAGGGAATGGTCTTCTCCTTGATCGTGAACATGCCATTAATGTCTTTCTTGAGCTTCTTGAAGCGTTCATCCTGTTCTGAGCCGAACAGCAAGCCATCGTCCACATGAAGGCTGAGCAGTGCCCACGCTTGGGGATCATCAGAAGCAACAAAACTGCTCTTGCTGATTGGCATCTCGTTCAATGGCGTCAATGTCAACAGTTTACTTGCCCTCAAGTACCAGAGTCGAGGGCTTTCAACAAGGCCGTAGGCTGAGCGAAGGATCTGCATGAGCTCACCTCCAGGCTCTTCGTCCACGGTAGGCAGCCCTTCTTCAGGAGCTCGCACACACACACACACACATTGCGCTGCAGATTCTCTCCTGACAGAAAAACTGTGGTCACATCGAATGACCAACCCTTCCAACCATTGCGGACCCCTGTGGCTTTGGAAACTCTTGCAGTGTAGCCGTAGGACTGTCGCTGCGGAAATGGCCAAGGCCGGGATCTCGCAGTCAGGATCTAGTTCCTTGCCATGCTGTTTGAGCTTCAGCAACATGATCTCTGCCAAGAGGCGATCGTGTGGATCTTCTGTCCAGAGATGCTCAAAGATTTGACGCTCTTCAGGATCCAATTTGGCCTAACGATCACACATGCAAGTGAGCACCTAAGTGCGTGTTCTTGTGCATTTGGTTCAATTGGAGACCCCAGACATCTTCCTCAATGGTCAGTCGCCAGGACACGCTTTGCACCACTGCATTGTAGGAGCCATCGGCCGGCTCCTATGAGCTCGTATCAAAGTGGTCCACAAGACAAAACTGGACAACCCTGCAAGTCAGGCGGACTGCTAAGCAGCAGGCAGACCAAGCATGTACGGACAAGAAGTGGGTAATCGGAATTTACACATTGCCGAGGACGAAAGGCAGTGCAAAGCGAACATCAATCAAAAAGGCCACGGGAGCAGCTTGTCCAGTTCCCCCCCGGAGGCGGGGGGCAAAGGGAGCATATCGAAACAACCTCGGCTCCAAAACGGCTTTGCAACGGGAGCTAGGCGAGACATGCTCCGTGGGTGGCAATGGGTTTGCACGGAGTAGCATTGGCGCTGCAAAGATGCAGCAGTCAGGTACCGACATTTCCTTCAAACGCGGCCAGTCGAGGTTTGGCCGACACATGCAAGGCCCCATGAACTACTCGAAAATTGTGAAAACACGGAAGCGTGTGCGACCCTTTTGCGAATCCCGCTCTTGAGCCAAACATAACAGTCGGTTTGACTGTATGTCTGTTCGTCCACTCTTCTCTGAAGAGGTCTGACTGGTCACAGTCGTCCAAAACATACTAAAAGTACAAGAAGGCATCTCCAAACACTCTCAAGCAAAGCTAGGCTATACACAGCTCATCTCAAGCACTACAGCTCTATACTTAGGGCTTCTCTAGACATGCTCCTAGCCACTTCTGGTCACATTCCACTTAGTCCTGCTAAGGTGGTCAAAGCAAACACACTCCAGAGAGGAAGATCCCTACTCAGCTCCAACCCCAAGGACAGAAAACGAAAAAGTTCCACTACAAAGAGGTACTAGGTGATCCACACACTGTACAGGCGTGCTACCCACACTTTTCACACCCCTTCTTGGGTCACCTCGTACCTTCTCCTGGTCTTCCTGTCTTCTTCTTCTCTTCAATTCGTTTTCTCTGAGCAACTAAGGTTCGAGCATCAACTAAGATCTCAACTCCTGTGGTTCAAAATGGTCTCCAGGTCGATCAAACGTCAACGAATCGAGAACAACGAGCTTCAAGCAAGTTCAAATCAAGATCAACCAATCAACCATGCTTCAACCAAGCAAGCAAAGCAACAAGGATTCAAGGTCCCTCAGACAGCAGGGCTTCAGAGAGCTGCACGGAGCCAGCTCTTCGCCTCTGCTTCTGTCATCACTGGGACCCTGAAACCATACAAGGTCTCAAGTGGTCACCTGACAGGTCAAGCAAACGAAGATTCCTGAAGACAAAACCTGTCACATTCAACGTGCCAAAAGCTTCACACAGCATCAAACAGCAAGTAAAAAGGAAACTAGCCAACCCTCGCTAGATACAATCCCTCGGCTACTGTTTGACTTCCACTGCATGTCTCAAACTCTCAAACCCTTTCTCTTCACTTCAACTGCAACCAATCGACTCGACATCAAATGTCACACGGTCCAAAGTTCACAGCAATCAAAGGAGGCTAGAACCCCTGCTAGCTACAAACCCTTTTCTACTGTTTGCCGTGATCCCTGGATGCAAATGCAAATGACATCCCTCAATCTCGCAGTTCTCAACCCTTGATCTCTCGTGAACACACTTCCACTGACCTCCAGGCCGGTTTCCCCCTGGTCAACCTGGCACAGTCAGACATTTCTGTTGGATAAAACCCTGTGCAATCAAGCAAGGTAGTCTCACATCAACTTAACAAGAATCTTCTCCTACTCAAACATCAAAGTTGACAAGACTTCAAATCCCTTCCAAACTGCATCTCACAAGATCAAATTGAACAACTGCACATCGAATGTCAAATCCCTCTGAGCGAATCCTTTTTCCATCGATGCGGGCTGGCCGCTGTCAAACAAAAAAATGGCCTTGGTCGAACTTTCTAGGAATTTACTTCCCCGAAAGTCGAGGCATCATGATCTTCAAGATCAGATATCAGCCAAGGTTACTCTAGATCAGATATCGCCTTGGTCGGCTTCCGCCCAATTCCAGGAGCCGTCCGCAAGTCGAACTCGCTTCCATTGCGGACTTGATGCCGGGACACTTGGCGGTCCAGATCCAAACACAGGCGGGGGCGCGAACCCTGGAGGTGGAGGAAAAGCCGAAGGCGCTGGTGGCGTTAATGTCGACGGCATCAATTTCGGCTGTACGTTTGGAGTTTGGGGGGTAAAAATCCCACCCGTACCCAATGTCGCCTGCGGGAGTCCCGCGGCCATTGCTGGCGGCGCAGTCGCCGGAGGCGAAGTTGCTGGCCCACTGGCTGGTCCACTGGCTGGTCCACTGGCTGGTCCAGGAGGTGGGATATTGGTCGAACCTCCTCCAGTGCCTGGCGCAGAACCACCCCTCATCTGAGCGACCATCGATGACTTCCGACGCTCCACTTCGACCAATGCTTCCATTGTCGAGTTCAGCTTTTCAAGAAGCGTCGCGACCTTCTCGAGTGACTTGGACTGCTTGGTCACCGTGCCATCCAATTGGCTTACCACCTTGGACACACCCATGATCACCTCCTTCAAGGGCGTGTTGACAGTCTTGCCAGTTCCGCTGACCTGCCATAGGGTGTCCGACGTGGACTTCGCCGTCGCCCTTGCTGATTTCAGCATCTCATCCTGACAATGCCTTATTGAGCTAGAAAGCCCCACAATGCCGTTTGCTAAATCGTGCACCTGGGCGGCAGTGGTGACAAAATGCTGCTGCGTTTTGGCATCCGACTCGGAGAGCTGTCCAACATAGTCTCCCAGCTGGCCAAACAATTCACTCAGCTTGGAAAACCTCCCAACGCTCCAACGGAGCAGGTCATGCAAACCATCCGTTGTGCCCAGCGTGGTATGTCGAACGCTGTCGGGGAGTGCACTCAGAGATTGAAAATACACATGGCCCCAAAACGTGGCACCACATCGGAGTTGCTGGAGCCGAGCCACCATCCCCTGGTGCTTGCGCGCCAGATCGGCATGGGACAGGCCACCATAGTCTTCCGAATCCATCGGAACCCTGGTCTCCTCGAGAGGCTGTGAAGGGTCCGAAGCATGCTGCCGCACCAACTGGTCCATCTGTGCCTTCAAGCGGTACACATTGTCCTGGGCCAGGTCTGCGGACCGGTGCCAGCGTTCGGCCTCTGTTTTCGATACCTCATAGCAAACGTCGTTGATGAGCGAATCAGCTGGCTCAATGGATGACAACGAGAGAGCAAGGATCTCTTCGATCGGAATCTCAAGGAGGTCCTTCCCCTCCAAAAACACTCCATGCACAGTGCTCCCTGAGATGTTTGGCTCGTCAGGAATCATCACCGGTACTGGTGGGCCTGCCGGCCCGGCGGCTTTCGCCACCGGAGCTTCCATAGGAGCTCCCGTCATGGATCCTGCCGCAGCAGGGTCCTCAGCAGCATCCATAACACGCACTTCAGGAACTGCCGG